AAAAAAAAAAAACAGAAGTAGAAGAGGCTGGGTGCAGTTGCTCATGTCTGTAATCCCAGCACTTTGGGAGGCCAAGGCAGGGGAATCTCTTGAACCCGGGAGGCTGAGGTTGCAGTGAGCCGAGATGACGCCACTGCAACACTGCACTCCAGCCTGGGGGACAGAGCGAGACTCCATCTCAAAAGAAAAAAAGAAGAAGAAATAAAATATGCAAAATTATGTAGGTCCAAAATAAAATAGGAGAGAGTGTATGGTATTTTAGGGAGTGGTGATGATTAGTCTGTTTGAGATAAGATCTTGAAGGATTTTCAACTTACTCAAGTCTGAACTCTACCCTCTATGCCAGGAATTGGCAGATTTTTCTGTAAAGAACTAGACAGTATGCACTCAGGTGGTTATAGAAGTTGGACTAAATGGCTGATTTCTCAATTAGATATGGCATTTGAGACTCTGCCTAGGGAGAGTGCTCAGGTCATGCTTATGTGAAAATGTGTAGTTATTTTTTCCTCTTGCTCTCGCACATGCCCCTTGCTTTCCTAAGCTGAGGTTTTGAAAATGAAATTTTCACAGTTGAGTGAAAATGCCCTCTATAAGCACGTGTATTTCCTTCTTTAAAGAATTCCCTCTCAGGAATAAGAAGAATTGTTCTCTACTGTATTGTAAGACTTGGGGTTCGACCATGAACGCATTACTCCAGTTCAATAAGCTTCATTTTTCTCGTTGGTAGTAGGGTCCATTTTGTGGACCAATACCAACATACCAATAATTTCCTTGCCTTCAGGGAAGTTTAAGCTTATTAAAAGCAGTTACAAATATATTACAGATGTATTATTCAGGAAGTTTCTCAACAGGCAAGAAGGTTCAGCAAGTTCGTTGTCTTAATTACAATAATTTTTTTTTTTTTTTTTTTAGACGGAGTCTCTCTGTCACCCAAGCTGGAGTGCGGTGGTGTGATCTCAGCTCACTGCAGCCTCCACCTCCCAGGTTCAAGTAAATTCTCTGCCTCAGCCTCCCGAGTAGCTTGGACTACAGGCACCCACCACCATGGCTGGCTAATTTTTGTATTTTTATTAGAGATGGGTTTTCACCATCTTGGCCAGGCTTGTCTTGAACTCCTGACCTCGTGATGCACCCACCTCGGCCTCTCAAAGTGCTGAGATTACAGGCGTGAGCCACTGCAGCTGGCCTACAACAACATCTTTTTTTTTTTTTTTT